CATTTGCCGTTCAGTTTTTTTGGTGTCTTTTTTTTGTTTTGTTACATTTACCCCATGCCTAGGGGGCATGGGTGTCCTTAGGAGGCCTTGCAGAAAACAACCTGGGGTGTTTTCATGCAATAACCAACAATGGGCTCTCCTAAATCACAGTCAAAAAGTTGTGTGCGTGTGTAAAAATGAGGATTGAACAGTTACACGTTCTTCAACTTTTTTATTTTTTGTCTGGCTAAAAAAAAGTTGCATCAAAGCACTCCACATGCAATACCTCGGGGTGTCTACGTTTCAACTATGTGCCCTTTCGTGGCGATATATAAAACTGGGGTATGTGATAAGCCCCAAGCTAAAGATAGGCCTATCAGAAGAAATACTCTCAATTGCAAGTCATACAATTGTATCCGTACCTTCCCAAAATCCTGGAAAACCTATGCATGGAGGGCATAGGTGTCCTAAGGAAGCCTTGCAGAAAACAACCTGGGGTGTTTTCTTGCAATAACCAACAAGAAAACAGTCAAAAAGCAGTGTGCGTGTGTAAAAATGAGGATTGAACAGTTACCTCCACACACGTTCTTCAACTTTTTTATTTTTTGTCTGGCTAAAAAAAAGTTGCATCAAAGCACTCCACATGCAATACCTCAGGGTGTCTATGTTTCAAGTATGTGCCCTTTCGTGGCAATATATAAAACTGGGGTATGTGATAAGCCCCAAGCTAAAGATAGGCCTATCAGAAGAAATACTCTCAATTTCAACTCAAGTTGCAAGTCATACAATTGTAACCGTACCTTCCCAAAATCCTGGCAAACCTAAGCATGGGGGGTATGGGTGTCCTAAGGAGGCCTTGCAGAAAACAACCTGGGGTGTTTTCTTGCAATAACCAACAACAGGCTCTCCTAAATCGCAGTCACAAAGCAGTGTGCGTATGTAAAAATGAGGTTTGAACAGGTACCTCCACACACGTTCTTCAACTTTTTTATTTTTTGTCTGGCTAAAGAAAAGTTGCATCAAAGCACTCCACATGCAATACCTCGGGGGTGTCTACGTTTCAAGTATGTGCCCTTTCGTGGCGATATATAAAACTGGGGTATGTGATAAGCCCCAAGCTAAAGATAGGCCTATCAGAAGAAATACTCTCAATTTCAACTCAAATTGCAAGTCATACAATTGTAACCGTACCTTCCCAAAACCCGGCAAACCTATGCATAGGGGGCATGGGTGCCCTAAGGAGGCCCTGCAGAAAACAACCTGGGGTGTTTTCTTGCAATAACCAACAACGGGTTCTCCTAAATCACAGTCAAAAAGCAGTGTGCGTGTGTAAAAATGAGGATTGAACAGTTACCTCCACACACGTTCTTCAACTTTTTTTGACTAAAATGATTGCATCTAAAGCATCAAAACACTCCATATACAATACTGTGGGGTGTCACCTTTTCAAATATATGCACGCTCATGGCAAGAAAATACATTGGGATACCTGATAAGGCCCCCAAAAGGAAGATAGGCAAACAAGATATGTAAAATTTGAAAAACGCATATCAGACATTTTGCTTTGCACCCCCCAGTGAACCCAACACACGTATGCATGGGTGGTATCGCTGTACTCGGGAGATGATGCCGAGCACATATTGGGGTGTCCTTTGGCAGTAAAACCTAACAGGAGCTTAGAATCTATGCCCAAAGTAGAATGTGTGAGTGAAAAATAACACCACAAAAACGTTTGACAGAGACTAGTGGTAGAATTAGTGCATGTAAAGTGTTGAAATGCAACCATGTGAAATGCCCTAGGGCGTGTACTTTTCAAAAACATACGGTTTGACGGAGGTGAATTATGTTGGCCGGCTTCAGAAATGTTCCAACCTGGACATGGGTGCATGATGGCCAGCTGTGTTTTATTTTTCAATTTTTCATCATATTTTACTTTTTTTATTCTAGTAAATTATATGATATGATGAAAATAATGGTATCTTTAGAATGAACATTTAATAGCGAGAAAAATGGTATATAATATGTATGGGTACAGTAAATGTGTAAATGTGTAAGAGGCAAATTACATCTAAACACAACCACTGCAGAAATGTAAAAAGAGCCCTGGTAATAAAAGTGAAAAATGGCCTGATAACTAAGGGGTTACGTGAGATTTAAATATTTTTAGCTACCAGTGCATGTCTGTGAAGAACACAGTGAGAACTTGTGCTGTTTTTTGCTACTTTTCTTATTCGTGCCACAGCACCTGCCACTTTCCCAACTATTGCTTTGGCCCCATCACTGCACACATCTACACATTTGTCCCAATTTATACTGTGTGAACATGAACTTCTGGATACAGTTTAAGATGTTCTCTCCAGTGGTATGAATTTTCAAAGTTTCACACAGAAGCAAGTCTTTTTCAATCTGTTTGTCAAAATTATATCTAGCAAAAACCAACCAAACTGAAAGTCCTGCAACATCTGTGGACTTGTGTAATTGCAGTGAGTACCCATCACATTGATGCAGTCAAGAAATTAGTTATGGATGTCATCAGCAAGATCATGAATACGGCTCAAAACTGTGTTGTTGAAAAGTGTCACAGCTTCAATTTTCTACTCAACTTCTCATTTAAAATACATGACACTATTTCTTTGGCACATGGTTTTATTAGTGATTCCCAAATTGTGTGTGCTTCTCCTGCAAGTGCTATGCGGTAACTCACTCTGTAAGATGCCTCTGGCTTTTTCATTAGCATTTTGAAATTTTTTGGCTTATAAATTGTTTACTCTTCTGATACGTCTTCAGTTTTCGCTTAAAAAAGTCAATCTCTTTCTCTTTGTACTCTGTGTGGTTTTGCTCAAAATGATGACATAATTTAGCAGGTGCTAACGAACTGTTTGGCAATATTTTATTGCAAAGTACGCATTGTGCTTCAGGACAATCTTCATTTCTGGCACTTGTGAATCCAAATGACAAGCAGCTATCATCATATTTTCTTTTCTTTGTTTGAGAAGAAGATTGGCTAGCATTGTGTGCTTTTCCTTTTTTTTTTTTTTTGACTTGTCACTTGTCTCTGCTATTTGAGGAACAGTAGATTTGACTATTTTGGGCATGTTTCTGGAGTTTTAGTTGTATCTTCTTTCTCAGTTTCTATAAGTGCTGAACAAGTAGAAGTAGTAATATTTTTTCTCTGAAGAGTTCCCTGCTTTAACCAGCTTTCCAAATTAATGGTTGTTTATTGTTAAAAACAAAACACTTTGAAATATACAGATCTCACAACCTGACTGAAAAGGATGCTGATTTTGATAACACACTTAGAAAGAACTGAACTTAAGCAGGATTTTTGAGTTAGACGTGGAGCACAAAGATTTGAACACTTTGAAAAAATACAGATCTCACAACCTGACTGGAAATGATGCTGATTTTGATATCACTCTTAGAAAGAACTGAACTTAAGCAGGACTTTTGAGTTAGACGTGGAGCAAAAAGATTTGAACACTTTGAAAAAGTACAGTTAACAGTTTTGTGCCCCTCACAGAGACTTTCAATGCCCCTGGCAGAGCCTTTTAATGTCCCTTACAAAGCCTTTTAATGTCCCTCGCAGAAAATTTCAATGCCCCTGACAGTGTCTTTTAATGCCCCTGACAGAGCCTTTTAATGTCCCTTACAGAGCCTTTCAATGTCCCTAGCAGAGAATTACAATGCCCCTGACAGAGTCTTTCAATGCCACTGACAGTCGTTTAATGTCCCTTACAGAGCTTTTTAATGTCCCTAGCAGAGAAATACAATGCCCCTGACAGAGTCTTTCAATGCCACTGACAGTCGTTTAATGTCCCTTACAGAGCTTTTTAATGTCCCTAGCAGAGAAATACAATGCCCCTGACAGAGTCTTTCAATGCCCCTGACAGAGCCTTTTAATGTTCCTTACAGAGTCTTTTTAATGTCCCTAGCAGAGAATTTCAATACCCCTGACAGAGCCTTTTAATGTCTATTACAGAGTCTTTTAATGTCCCTAGCAGAGAATTTCAATGCCCCTGACAGAGTCTTTCAATGCCACTGACAGTCGTTTAATGTCCCTTACAGAGCTTTTTAATGTCCCTAGCAGAGAAATACAATGCCCCTGACAGAGTCTTTCAATGCCCCTGACAGAGCCTTTTAATGTCCCTTACATAGTCTTTTTTAATGTCCCTAGCAGAGAATTTCAATACCCCTGACAGAGCCTTTTAATGTCCATTACAGAGTATTTTAATGTCCCTAGCAGAGAATTTCAATGCCCCTGACAGTCTTTCAATACCCCTGACAGAGCCTTTTAATGTCCCTTACAGAGTCTTTCAATGTCCCTAACAGAGAATTACAATGCCCCAGACATAGTAAAGCATTATTACAGCCCAACGTGGCTCCGGTCCCCTGGGCACATGAGTGATACTGTTGTTTGTTAAATATTCCTAACTCTCAGGTGCTAAAGTGCTCCAGGTTTGGGATGGGTCCCCCTCCAAGGATACTCGGCTGTGGATCATACTGATTGCTAGGCTGTATTGTACATGGAGGGGAGAGGGGGGATCGTCAGGGCCAGTGCCTGGGTGGGCTTCTATTTTCAGTAGCCACTTAATAGGTGGGGATGAGTATCTAAAACTTTTAACGGGCTTGGGTGTCCAAGGTAAAAGGTCTTGGTCTCTTTTGCTGTACTCTAGCATGGTGTAGGCAGAATCATTTTACACTAGTATGGTGCAAACAGTAAACAATTTACGCTCGTGTGGTGTAAGCAGAGAGCATTTCTCACTACTATGGTGTGAGCGGAGATCAATCTACCCTGGCATGGTGTAAGCAATGAACCGTTTACACTAGTATGGTGTGAGCAGAGAATATTTTACTCTAGTATTGTGTAAGCAGAAAACAATTTACATTAGTATGGTGTAAGCAAGAAACAGTTTTTAGCTATAATAATAACAATTTTAACTAGATGAGTATAGTCACTGATTTTAGTGGCGGAGTCTAGTGCTTCCCAGATGAAGGAGGGGTGTCCTCGCCTTGCGGCCTGTTCAAGTGATGTTGCCTGCTGGTTTGGCATGCTGGAACGACCTGGGTATAAATTCCCTTGCAGTGGTAGGGTCCAGCCTGGGCAGTGAGGTCGTGGGTTCTGGGTGCGGTGATGTCAGGCCCAGTTGGCGCAGGTGAGTGGCAAGTTCTTGTCGGCTCCGAGCGCGGTACAGAGTTCCTTGGGAGGTAAAGGTCATGAGGCGTGGTGTACCCCAGCTGTACTGGATGTTGTTGGACCTCAGGAGTAGTAAACTGGGTTGAAGTGATTTCCGCCAGTTAAGTGTTCCTCTCTTTATATCGGAGAATAATAGTAGTTGAGATTCTTCAAATGATATAGGGGTTTTCCCTCGGGCCGCTGCCATGACTGCAGATTTGTCCTGTTGGGTTTGGAATTTTACTATAATGTCTGCCATGGCGGTCGAGGGTGCATTTGATGGTTTGGTCAAGCGGAACAGTCCGTCAGTCTTCACAAGTTTTGTTGCTATTAGGCGCCTCACATAGTGTGGGAGGTCAGCTAGCCCTATATCATCAGGTACCCCTCTGACCTAGTTGTTTCCCCTTCTTTGGTCTTCTAAGGCCTCCACCTTCTTCGCCGTGCCCAGTTGTTGTGTGTGGAGGGCTGACATTTTTTGTTCCAGATTGTGTAGTCTTGTGTCATGATTGTCTGCCTTTGTCTCCAAATGAGTAAGCCTTGTGGTGGCCCCTTCCAAGGCCTCCTTGAAGTATGTGCGGTCGGTAGCTAGATCCTTTCTGAGCTCCGTGAACATTTTAGTTAGCAGGGTTGTTGTAATAAGTTCCTCTGCTGGTGGTGCTTTGGGCTTGAGCCCTGCGGGCTGGTTTGCCGAAGCGCCTTC